GTCCCCAGCCCACAACCTGTTACCTAAGGTCTAAAACAGAAGATACCAGGGGATATCCCAGGAAACTCCTGCTCACACAGGTGTGTTCCAGGGCCTGAGCAAAATAACTCTGCTCACGTGGCTTGGTATTGAATTTCCTGTATACTACAAGCACTTTAGATTCATATGACATTGTTAATGTCTCTCCTCTGGCATTCTTATCTCTAATTGCTTTTTTACTATCCCGTTTTCTCTAGATGACTCCAGGCCCCCATCTAAGGAAGGAAGATAGGCCAGAACCCAGAAGAGTTCATTAAGAATGGACCTCAAGAAGCAAGAGAGCTTGCATACCTAATGCTGACTTCCCACATTGGAAGCCTTCCTGGGGAGACAGTTATCCCAGGAGACCTAACTGCTGATCCTGGAATCACCTGGAATAGGATGGAGTGATCACTCCAGAAGGTTTTCCACACTGCTTTTTATTTTTTTAAGCCAGTCAAAAAAAAAATTTTTTTTTTTTTTTGGCGGCTGGCCGGTATGGGGATCTGAACTCTCGACCTTGGTGTTACAACACTGTGCTCTAACCAATACAGCTAATTGGCCAGCCCATTAAAGCCAGCCAAATTTAGCAGTGGGGGCTTGTATACCAACTTTAGCAACACTAATATTAATAACTTCTGATAACCCACTACCATTAGACCAGGCTGTACGTTGTTTTAATCAAAAAACAGTGATAACACAACAGGCTGCACATTTTACCAACTGCCAGTCAGATTAGAAAGCAGATCAGAAAATCACAGAACTGAAAAGAACTTTTTTTTTTTTTCAAGTTAACCCCTTTATTTTGAAAATGAGCAACTGAAGGTAGCTGGGGAATAGGTGACAGGATTGGTGGGAAATACATGCTTTTCAGGTTTTAACCTGTCCAGGAAGATACCAATGTGCTGAAAATCTTCACTACCATGATTTCAGTTACTTCCCTCAAAGTGAGGGAACTCTAAGCACCAAAGCTACCCACACATGCAAATATGAAAGAAGGAGGGAGGCCATAAAAGATCCACAGTGAACCAGTTACGATGTGTGTGTATGTGTACACAGAGCATGTGCTATCTCTCCGACTGAACTTGAATACCACCGCTCCTGCCACTCCTAAAAAGTGGCATGTGGAAATTTCCCTCTGTCCCAAAGAGCCAGAAATCTCTTCAGGGCAGTTTGGAAAAAAGGACTCTTGAAATGGCCTGAGTAGAATCATGCTAATGAAACACCCCAACTGCTAAAGAAAGCCAATTTCCACTAAGACCCAGGACAAAAACTGTGCCATGAGAAAGGCAGGTAAATGATGTGGTGAGTTCCAAGCCTGTGGAGCTTCTCTTAGCATCACTTTCCCCTCCATCCTCCCTAATAAAAGCTAAATTCTTCACAGCACTAATCAGTTAATTCACTGAAAGACCCAAGGATGAAAGAAAACAGTTAAACCACACTTTTCCCCAAACCTCTGATATGGACATCTAAGGCTCCAATCCAGTGATCCCAGCCTTGCCTTCTGACAGATATTCAATATGGCCAGGAGCACGGCCTCTGATCGAAACTCATGAACTATGGAATCTCCTCTCACAGGCCAGTTCACCTCCACTTTCCTCTGGGTGGGATCCCTTCTTGGTCCAGCTGGGATCAGAGATCATCGCCCTGAAGCAAGAACACTTTGCAACGGAGTGACATACCTCAAGTGGTCACAATCCACTCCCTACCCACATTCTCTTCTGTGTACTTTCTGGTTTGCTTCAGGCTGAACCTATTTAAGTATTCCCAAGTCAGAGGGAATATTTCTCCCTTACCCCCTCTCTAAGGCAAAGGAACGACAAAATATCTACCTTCTGTCCAACCCAGGATTTCACTGGCACAACACACACACACACGTGGATAAGGCAGCCCACCCCAGAACGGCCGAGACACACACACACACACAACACACACACACACACAACACACACACACACACACACGAATAAGGCAGCCCACCCCAGAACGGCCGACACACACACACACACACACACACACACGTGGATAAGGCAGCCCACCCCAGAACGGCCGGAAAAGCGAAGTCCTTTCTAAGCTTGGGACAGCTGGTCCGGGACAGCTCCCGCGCGGAACCGCTCCCGGGCGGGACAGCTCCCAAGCAAGGCCCAAGCCGGGGCGGAGCAGGGCCTGCCCTCTTCCCTCCCCAGTGCTCACCCTCACCTCTCATTCTGCTACCGCCACTGCCACCTCCGCCACCGCCGCCAGTGGGGGAATTGGGCCCCGCTGACTGTTTGCGCCATCCCCGCCAGTTCTGGCAGAGGCTCTCGGCCTCGGAAATGAAGGAACAGAGTGAATCCTCCTCAAAGCGGTCCGAATCCTCGAACGAGAAGCGCTCTCCGTCCTCCCACTCCGCGAACATCAGCTCCATGGGGCCCGCACCCCCCGGGGCCGGGTCCCCCCCCGCGGATCCGGGGCCTGGGCCGCCGGCCGGGAGCTGAGGGGAGGCCCGGGGCCTGAGGGGCGAGCCGGGGCTGGGGGTGGCCGGGGCGCTCAGGGCGGCCGTGCCGGGCGAGGATCTCAGGTCTGGGAAAGATACTGGAGCAGGCCTCGCCCCAAAGCGTGGTGCAAACGAGGATCGTGGCCAGCCTCCGAGACTCAGGGCCGGGACGAAGCGCTCGGCGGCCGGGGCCTCTAGGCGGCTGCGGCGCCGCCTCCCCCATCAGCTGATCTGAACTTCCGGCCGCGCCGGCCACCACCACTTCCGCCCTCGGGCGCTCTGGAATCCGACTCGGTACGGGCGGATGTAGGGGACATGTTTGTTTAATTGCTGCATTTCCTGCTTTTTCTCAAGCCCACCCTTAGACACCATAAGAGGAAGCCAATCTCCAAATGTTTACGAAGTGACTACAGATCCCAGCAATAACTCGGCGTCCATAGTGTCCCGAAAGCATAAACAGCCGCCATGCACGTCGGGAATCGTAGGCTGTCAAGAGACAGCACAGGAGCCATTGGATGGAGGTAGTGTCCTAACTCCGGATAGGCCCCTCGGCTGCATCGCCTCCTGGGAATCGCAGTCCAGAAACCTGCGATCCCGCAGACTTTTTATAGGGTTTCATTGGGAAAAGCACCAAGAAAGAAGGACTCTGATTGAGGAAATGGTTGTACTGTTTGTCAGTACAGCCTTTGAGTCTAGCAATTCTTAACGTTTTTTTGTGCCGTGGACATTTCAGCAGTGTGGCCCCTTCTCAGATTCTTTATAAATGCACACGATAAAATACAAGAATTACAAAGGAAACCAATTATTTTGAAATACGATTACCAAAATATTAATAAAAAAAATTTATAACATGGTAGTCCTTTTTATTTACACATTAAATGACAAGACCTAGTAGAAAATGTAATACTTTTGAAGCTAGTGATAAGTTTTTGAGATATTTGTGACCAAGTGAAATAAGATATGAACATACCATGATTTCATGTAGGTATTGCTAATGCTGCTGTGATTTGTCTCCCAGAGTCCTACTTGAAATCCTTAATTTCAGTTGTGGTTAAAGATATAATTTTTCCCCCCATCTAAACTCACAGACCTTTTACTGGGAGTATATCGGCGCTAGGTTAAGAACTCCTCCTTAGTCCAAAGTGCCTAAGCACTGAGCTTCCTATAGCTAAAAGGCTTAGCTTGCACAACTAGGTAGTTGCCCAGTGCTCTCCATGGGGTATGAGGACTATGGGAAGAGATAGCTATTGGAGATCAGAGAGGCAAGACCCCTTCCTTACCTTAATAATTATCCCATTCAAGCATTAAAAACTCCACTGATCTCTTTGCCTCACATTTTTGTTTTTGGTGGCTGGCCAGTGTGGGGATCTGAACCCTTGACCGTGGTGTTATAACACCATGCTCTAACCAACTGAGCTAACCAGCCAGCCCTCATTTTTTTTTTTAACTGACTTGTAATAATTCTACATATTTATCGAGCGCAGAGTAATATTTCCATACATATATACACTGTGTGATGATAAAACCGGGCTAATTAGCATATCTGTCACCAAAAACATTTATCATTTGTTTTTAACCCTTGACCTTGGTGTTATCAGCACCACCCTCTAACTAAGTGAGCTAACAGGCCAGCCCTTATCATTTCTTTGTGATGAGAACATTTGAAGTCCTATTTCCTAGTCACTTGAAAATATAAAATTGTTATAGACACCTAGCACTATTACACAATACTAGAAGTTATTCTTCCTATCTAGCTGCAATTCTGTATCTGTTAATCAACCTCTCCCTAATCCCCTTCTCTACTCTTTGTCCCATGTTTAATGCTGTAAGGTACCTACAAAAGGTTAACTCAATTATGCCTGAAAGGGCAGAGTATAAGTAAAATGCTATGCAATTGCTCCTAATACAGGGGATCAGATAACTTGAGAGAAGTGAACAGGTAATACACAAACAAGATAACTGTCAGTTAAATTACAGTTTCACTATTTGGGAGAGTCCAGTGGTGAGGTAGCTGGAGATTGAGGACAAATGATAATCAGCACTACCTGATTATTTTCAGGAGGGAATAAGAACATAAGGTTGCCAGAGCTTTTCATTTTTTTTTTTTAAAGGAAAGCTAAAGAGTAGATTTTTATGACACTTTTTTCTTACTTTTGAATGTGGTCAGCTATTTTCAAAACCTTTTTTAACTGCATGGGTCAAATAAAATACATCTTCAGAACCTCTGGGTCATCAGTAAGTGAGCACTTTGAAGGGCCTATGCATAAAATAGACAATCACCAAATACTTACAGATTATGGCAAACAGCTCTGCAGATAGGCAGACTTCAATATCCTTAGCGCACATAAAGGCAAGGGCATTAAATGGTGTAAAGGACTCCAAATGCGTGCAAAGCTAAGACAAAGGTTTTTGTCCTGTTCTAGGGATAATCCAGAACTTCCAGAATCTAGGGGAGGATACAGGTTCAAGAATGGAGGCAGTATCTAATTCACAACAAAAGGCCAAGTTCTCTTCAGAGGATTTTATTTCAAGATAAAACATAACTTCCACCCAGACCATGATTCCAAAGGGTGAAAAAAGTGTTTTGCTTCATTCTACCCTTCAAAGAGGGAATGGCAGTGCAAACATCTCTAAAATGCCTCTGCATAGTTCTCAGAAGCTATCATCCAGTCATTGAAAATGATTCTCCATTTTCAGCTCATATGAGGTTTGTTGGGAAACCTCTGTAACAACTTATTCAATTTCTTGGGAGGTAAGTTCCCAGACTCTCCCAGGGTCTCCTGGATTGATCTCATCTTTCGGGCTTCCTGAAAACACAGAACAAAACCAAGAATGACAGTCCTAAAGTTTGTCCTGACCTAGACCTATAGTTCTCACAATGCCCCACCCAAAGCACACCAAGATATTAACAAGCCCGGAGAGATCTGTGTCAGTCGCTTTTAACGAAAGGGACCCGTGACCTACAAATGACTGTATGATCTGAAGATACTATGTCAGCCAGCTAGCAACTAAGCCTAGGCTGGAAATCAAACAATACTTAGTTTACCTTTAGCTCTATTTCAGACAATGATGTCTATTTGAACAGCAATTTAAATTTTTCAGTGGTTGTCCCATTCTTTACATCATTTGACACACAAAATTATGTAAGGTGGGTAATTTACATATGGTAAAAATGAAGTTCAGAGCAGTGAAACAAACCGGTCAAAATCACACAACCTTCAAAACCTTTCCCACTTTGGCGTGGGCGAGGTAGCTCCCAAATAAATGAGGGCCTTTCCTATCCCCTAGCAAAAGGCAGGGAGAACCATGACTTATGTCCCCTCCTTCCCCCGCCCTTCTCAAGGGCCCCCTGGAGCCATCCGTTACCTGAGCCCTCGAAGCACAATCGAAGAAGCCCTGGATCTCTTTTCTGCACGCTTCGTCGCGAAATTCATTCTGCTTCCAGCACGCCATCATCATCGACATCTCAGTGATACAGGTCGCCTCTGGAGGGGCAGAACGGGGAGGCGAACCTCAGTCACTAGGACACCCTTACCTTCCCGCCCCCCTACCCAGCCGCCTGTGCTGCCCTCCTGCACTCCGCTCCGGAGCCTCCTCGGCTCCGACGGCTTACCTCCCTTCTCCCGGCGCCGCTCCCCGACGCGATCAGCTAGGATGAGGGGTTTGTTGGGTTTCAGTACAGGCTTCCGCGGGTTCCCAAACCGCGCCAGGCGGCCCCGCAAGCTGGGAGCCGCCATTATGTTCCTAGCTCCCGGCAGGCGCGGCGGCGTCGTGCGTGACCCCGCGTGACCCCTACGGGCTCGAGGAAGCTCGGCGGAGAGCCGGCGAAGAGCCGGCGGAAAACCCTGCGGCCTGCTGGTTCTGCTCTTTCCTTGGCCCGGGCTGCGGCGACGCTGGGTTCGGTGACCGGCGGTCCGTACCCGTCAGCAGGTTAGGAGGAGACTCGGGCTCGTACCCGACTGACGCCAGTCTTTTGTGGGCTCCAGGCTCTGAAGTCCGGCGGCAGTACCGGGCCGGGGACATCCAGGAAAGGAACCCCATAAATGGGCACTCGTTTTAGGTGGTAGCCAGCTGGTCTAGATGGTGAATGAAATAGGAAAGGGCAGAGACGATGGGAGCGAATCAAAATATGAAACTTTAAGATGTAGGTTGGGAAAGAATTTTGTTTGGTTTTTATAAACCTATAAAGACTTGTTTTTAAATATCTTTAAGATCTCTCCGAAGCCGGAAAAAAAAAAAATTAGGCTCATTTATTTTTACAGCTCCTACTACTGCTTAGACACGTTTGCTCATCTATAACGATCTCATTGGGTAGGGTGAGGTTTAAACTTTTTCGCATTCATTGTCTTATTTCATCTTCTCGTCAGTCTTGTGAAGGTACTTGGTAGTAGTGTTCCTATTTATACAGTTGGACCTTCAGTTGTGATGCTTCCTCAGACTTAGTTCTTAAGTGAAAGTGACTGGCTGTTTTACAAAACTCAGTTCAAAGATGTGCCAGAGATTCTCAAGGCCTTTCCAAATGAGCCCCAAGAAATGTTTCTGGTAATGGAAGCATACTTAAACAAGCCTGTTGGAGGAGCAATATTTATTTGGATGTGTGAACTTAGTGTGCTACAATCATTTATCACAGATGTTTGGAATCTTCCCACTGATCTCTGCATGGCTGGTTCTTTTTCTTCCCTTGAGTTTCAGTTCCTGTCAGAGAGGCATTCCCTGACTTCACACCCCACCACCATCAACCTGTTTTATTTTCTTCATAGGACCTATCACAGACTGAATTAGCTTCTTCATTTATTCTTATTCGGTTTTTTTTTTTATTTGTTTGTTTGTTTTCCTGTTCATTCATTGTTTATGGCCTTACCTACCCCCAACACCCATTTAAAAATGTAAGCACCATGGGAGAAGGGACTTTGTCTATCTTGTTTATTGCTGAATCCCCACTACCTAGGATAGTGCCAATAAATACTTGTTAATGAACAAATGTTTGAAATATTTTTTAAAAGTCTCCAATTTTATCATGCCCAGCCCCCCCCAAAAGCAGAAGACACTATTAAAAAAGCAGTTTATTATACAAAATGAAAGCTGAGATAATAGAAAATAGCAACACTTGCAATAATAAAGGCATAAGCCCTGTGCTCCACCCCCCACCCCCCGCTTTATAAATAAAACAGATTCTTATCAGACACTTCTACCACCAATAACCCTAACCTGCAGCAACTAAGCCTGCTGCTGTACACAACAGGCTGGGCCTCAAACCAAGAGAAGATTCACATTGCTTACTTCCTCCATAGGGAAAAGAAAGCTTTTAGTTGATAAACACCATGTGGCTATTTCTGGTTCTACTTTCTCTTGTGGAAATAGCAACTGGTTTACCCTGATCCTTTGTGAACCTTACATGGTGATAGGAATAAAGGACAAAGTCTGGGAAGCACTGAGCACAAAGCAGGCTTGAGTCTCCAGCAACATTTACTCATAAACTGGCCTACTTTGTACATAAAAGTGCTAAAGGAATGTCAGTGTGAGCTGTTGTAATTAGACAAGAGAGGTAGGGATTATTCTACACTTTGCATAACCATCATTTACTCTTTTTATTGCATGTAATGAAATTTGAATCCTAGCCCAGGTTTGCACTTGTATAATATGTATTTTGCACTATAATTCAGTATCTGCATTTAAATAGACTGCAAACTTAAGATATCAGAGTCCTGCATTTGACTTCTTTTGTGGGTGCCTACTATATCAAATTTTAACAGATGTATTTTTGAAGGTCTGTCTTTCCTTCTTTTTCTTTTCTGCAAAAGGCTAAGCAGGTTAAGCAAAGTTTCATGCTGTTATGAAGGACATCTTTTTTTTTTTTTTTTTGTCTTTTTCATGACCGGTAAGGGGATCGCAACCCTTGGTGTGGTGTCGCCCACACCGCGCTCAGCCAGTGAGCGCACCGGCCATTCCTATATAGGATCCAAACCCGCGGTGGGAGTGTCGCTGTGCTCCCAGCGCCGCACTCTCCCGAGTGGGCCGACCAGTGCGCCACGGGGTCGGCCCGAAGGACATCTTTTATTAAAGAATAAAATGAAAAAAGAACAACCTTGGCAATGAAATCCAGCCTAAATTAGCTTTTCTTGGCCACATCCTTAGGTGTCACAATATTAAGAGTGGACCCTCGTTGTTAAAGAGTCTAATATATGTTGTCTATCTAGCTATATATATATAAATTTACAACCAGATATATTGATAAGCTATGGTACTTCTCTAGTGATAATCATTTAATACAACATTACAACTCTAAGGTCCAAGGTATTCTTTCTTGTTCCACTATCCCAGAATAAAAAGCTCGTGTTCTTCCTGCTCATTAGGCTGTTTGTTCAAACCACAGCAATAGAAGCGTTTGGCTACATCCCCAAATCTGACTAAGCTTATTTAGCCAGCCACTTGTAGTGGCTTAATCTCTTGCCTCGCCTCCTCATCCCTTTGAGCATAGGGTGTTGGGCGGAATCCATCAAAAAGTAGTCTCAGTACCATAAAGTTGTATGGAAGGATATCAGTAATACAGTGAATGAAGTTGGACTGTTCGTTGCACTTAAGGTGAAAAGTGCTACAAACTTATGAGATAATTACTAAAGCATATTGCTGGATTGTTTTTTCCACCATAATTTTCATGACTGCGGAAAATGGGACTTTGTAGCATGAAAAACAATAAATAGAGGGAAGAGTTAATTAGGCAGACAGAAAAGAACAAAGACTTATAAAAATTTGTACTTTAATTCATATCCGCCTGTTTTATCATTTCAAAACTATTTAAATTAAATATATATGTGACTTTTTCTTCCATCATTTCCAGGCTTCGTCTCCATCTTTGATCTTAAATGGAACAGGGCAATACATTAAATTGGCATAGCATATATTAGCCACTGAATCTTTCTGTTCATGAGATGAGAAGGAATTCCTGATATAACTTAAATAAGAAACAAACCAGCAGTAAGAGTGATGGCAAGGTTTGTGTATATCCATCTGAAATTGTGGGAAAGGGCCTAAAACCAAGAAAAAATAAGCCATGTAAAATAAAAAAGTTTGACGTGAAGTGCAAATTAAATGACATAAAAAAAAATACAACCCCAGAAAATCAGAATACAACCCAACCAGTTTTGCTTCTCCACTAACATTAACAGTTTATAAAGCAAGAGATGAGGAAGAGAGATTATTGGGAAAGATATCGAATAATGAATGAGAGGTTTGCGGAACAGAACAGGAGAAGTTTTAAGTACTAACCTGACCCATCTTACCTTACGGTAGTCAAGTAAAACAGGATGAAATAGCGAGAGAAGTGAGCAGTCCTTTAAAAATTCTGTTGGTCCAGCACCTTGAATCAAATGGGTGTTTCAGGCTTTTGTTTCCCACTGAACCAAGGACAGGATGCCTCTATCTCTCCTTGAAGAGAGGCCCTATTACCACAGGCTGAGATCTTGGCTACACATCAAGATAAAATATCAGTGGATATAACTGGAATTTCTTGAATCCATATGACAGTGTTCACTAAGGGGTTGTGCAGTGAGTGCTCTTTATGTCCCATGGTAGAATAAGCTTTCCTTAGCTCTACCAAATTAAAGGCTCTTGGAAGGGCAATTAGAGAATCTGGTTCCTTTTCATGAAGATCTCATGTAGGTAATCCCAAAATTTACTCTGCTGTGTTTCATTGTTGTGGATCATGGCTGTGAGAGCTTCTCCCTGGTCCAGACCTTGCCAATAATCTTGCAGCCACATCTCCTTCCAGCTGAAATACCAAAGTGGGGAGTGGATTATGGAATCGCCGCACAGCTATGAGTCTGCCTTTCTGAGTGGGGCTAAAGAAATCTTAAGCAGATCCAGTGATCTCTGGCTAGGACTAGACTGCTGAGAATGAAAGAAATGTGAAGTAAATCCAGTACTAGCCTAAGTGACAGGCAGTAAGCCACAAACATAAAGATATCACACAGCCCACCCAATGAGTTAAAATTCCTGTCTTGCCTGCTCCAGGTTCCCAAATGTGGAGGGAGTTCAGAGGCAGGCATAGCAGGGGCCAGAATATGGAAATAGTAGTAATCCCTAAGGAAAGCAAGGAAACAGGGGTCTTTAGATGCTTATCTTTTAAGTTTTACCTTTATTCCAATAATGAAATGAAGGTGAAGTGGCATCCAATGTCTAGAAAAGACATATCCTGAATATTTGTTTTCTTTTCTTTTTTAAAAAATGACTAGTAAGGGGATCTTAACCCTTGACTTAATGTTGTCAGCACCATGCTCTCCCATGAGAACTGAATGGCCATCCCTTTATAGGGATCCGAACCCGTGGCCTTGGTGTTATCAGCACCGCACTCTCCCAAGTGAGCCACGGGCCGGCCCTTGAATACTTGTTTTCTTAATGTTTTAAATTGTTTTACACTTTTCCTCTAAAAAATCATAATATTATGTTCAGCATAAACTAGACACAAATCACTTGGTGGAGGACTCCACCATCAGAACCAAACTGTGCCAGCAGCATTTATAGACAGCTCTCTGCTACCATCCACTGTCCAAGTCAGTCTTTGCAGGCCATTCCAGCAGCCTCTCTCCAGCTTTATAATGGTACCACTTCTCCCCCAACAGCTGTGTCTTGCTGCAAGTGGCTTCAACATTTTCCCACCCCACCTCCCATGCTGACCTTGTTTCCCAAAGCCACCACCTTCTGCCACGTATTATAGTAGCCTACTCACTTCCCTTCCAATCCACACTGCCCACCATTGTTAATTATTAATCTTTTGAAAGCATTCCTTCAGTTCTGTCTTGAGTGAACATATAATTTTGCACCCAAATCAGGGTATTTTTAAGAGTAACATGAGGCACTATCAGTAATAATGCCTGGTAAACAGGTATAAACCCTGACAATCGCAGAAAAACCTCCTTCAAAATGCTCATCTTTGTATTCCCCACCCCAACCATATAGATGGTCCTCAAATAGCTGAGTTGATTTTCAGGACAGTCCAAATTCCTGAGCCTGGTATTCAGGCTGCTTTATAGCCTGGCCCCAGTTATCTGCCCAACTTTCTCTCTCCCTCATTACCTCCCTACGTAGGCCTTTTGCCCTGGTTCAAGCCTTTTTTAAACAACTACTGCAAACGTTCACATAAGCTGATTTTCGTGTACCGTTGCCTTGAATTATATTTTACATCTTTACTCAGCTTTTTTAGTTTGCCTTATCTCCCCAACTAGATTAGTGACACCTTAAAGGCAGAGTGAGCCCATGTCATAATTTCCTCATAGACGCCCCCCAAGCACCTAGTGCTAGTTCATTGCCCATAGTAAGTAGTATGTAAATAATTCGATTTGACAGCAGTGGAGGACCCCAGCAACCCTTACCTGTCATTCTCAGGAATATCTTCCACGTTACCAAAGCCAGGTGTGGGCACTGGGCAGTCCATGTGTGAGGGCTGGGCAATGTGAGGCTCAGAGACAGGGATGTCGCCAGGAGAGGCTATGTGGGCTTTCTCGGCATCCAGCCGAGCCAGTTCATGGTCACAGACGAAACACTCGAAGCCGTTCAGGTAGTTAGGCAGTAAAGGATCATTCACTCCCCACTCCCGATGCTTCAGACTATCCAGAAGGAACTGGTTGGTGATGCCCCCAGGTTGCTTGTATGCCAGGTATTTCATATATTCCTCATCATTCTTGTCCAGAAAGTCAATAAACTCTGCCAGCTTCTGAGGGGACTCGAAATCGTCAATAAGGATGATGGAGTGATTGTTGGGCATCCAATCCCTCACAGAGGGGGAGCCGCGGTACACGGGTACAGCACCCAGGTGCATGGGGCGCCACAGTTTTTCTGTCATGTAGTCGTTACAGATGGCATTTTCGAGGGCCAAGTGGAACTTATAGCGGGACAAGAAGGCCAAGAGTTCCGGATCCTCGGTGGTGGCCGTGGCCGTGTCCTGTAACCGAACGGTGGGCAGCTCTCGATTCTTCAGGCATTTCCCGTATGAGTCCACCTGAGCAGAGTAGAGTACGACTGTCAAGAGGGTTCGGCCTGTGGGCCGGGACACCGGGGTCCGGGCCTCCGCCCCGCCCGCCCCGCCGTCCCCTCACGCACCGGGATGTAGCGCATGAGCTCGCGTACATAGCGGTCCCGGTCCGCGGGCACGTCGCAGTGGGACTGCAGATAGAGCAGCGGCGCGTAGCCGCGGCGCCGCCACTCCGCGCGCTCCTGGAGAGGCGGCGCCTTACGGCGAAGGTAGGCGGGCCCGGGCAGCCACTGCAGCGCCAGCGGGTAGTCCGAGTGGCGGCTGAAGGTGGCGGTAAGATTGAAGAGGCGGATTCCCGGGCCGTGGCTCAGCAAGAAGTTGTTGAGGGGCGACTCCTCGTGCAGGAGCGCCCAGCTCTGGTGCGCCAGGCGCGGCAGCGGCGCGTCGGACGCGCGGAAGTCGGTGCCGTAGAAAAGCAGCGCGCGCGTCCGCGAGTCTCCCCGGACCCGTCGGTCCCGAGACGCCACGCACGCGCCGCGCTCACACTCGATGCGTTCCGAGTCGCCGGGGAAGTGGGGAAACAGCCCTGGGCTCCACCACAGCAGCACCGGCAAGTCCACCGCCCCCTCCCTCCCTGGCCGCGGGGTCCCCGGACTGCGCGCCACCCCCACCGCGCCCAGCGCGGAGGGCGGCCGGAAAACCGCGCCGTCCCAAGGTTCCGCCCACTCCGCCTCCGCGCCTGCCTCCCCCTCCGCCACGGGCCCAGCGTCGCTGGCCGTACACACACTGAGCACCCCCAGGGCCAGTACAGCTCTGGCGCGGCCGACCGTCATGTCCACTCCGGCAGCCGGCGCCCCTCGGACAGCACGAGACCCCGCCCCGCGGCGAGTCGCGACGGGCCGAGGCCCTACGCCACCGGAGGCACGCGGCGCATGCGCACCTCCGCTCAGCTGGCGGGCCGGGCCAAAGGGGAAGTGAGACTTCACCAGAAAGGATGAGACTGCTGGTTACATCTTAATTTATTTTATTTCTTTACAAATTAAAGATGCATTGAAAAATAAACCAATGAAGAGAAGTGAGAGGCCCAGAACAGGGACATCCCAGGCTGGGAGCAGGCAAGCCTGGCCACCATCAAGCCTAGCCCTTCTCCTGCCCCAGCTGGTTGGGGTTGGAAGGTAACTGTTGGCCACTCAGTCAAGACCGAAACCCAAGTGGTGTCCCGGCGGGAGAGAACAGAGGTCCAGCCGCCTCTGCCTCTCTCCCCCAAAATCCCCAGCTTGGAAAAGCAGTATTTCTAGTGGGAGCTCAAAATGGTATAAGGGCTGGTTCTGTGAGGTATTGCAAGTTGATGACCAGTCTCCCTAAAGAACCATCCACTGTTAGGGTCTGTCCAGCTGGAAGGGAGGCTGGTACCTCTCCTAGGTCTTAATATACTTTGTGACTCAGTTGCCAGGCTCACTCATCTCTGACAATGTGCCTTTTCCACGGAGTGGCCACCAATCATTGCAGGAGAGAGAGCGAGCAGTGAAAGCAGAGAAAGCTAATCAACCACCCTCAGTAACTCTGACTCAACTGCTGACCTCCAGACCCAGGAAGGACCAACCACTCTCCTCTTCATCACTTATGGTCCATATCCCAGCTCTTGTGTACCTGGTATGCTTTATCCCTAATATAGGAAGTTGTTGATGACACTGAGCTGAATTAGCCACCCCTGTAGTAACCCTGGGATTCCCACTCCTTACTACCTGCCCCTCTCCTCTTGGAGGCTGGTCCAAAGGGGACACATAATATTGCTAGGGTCTGGGCATCTCCAAACCCCAACACTGAATCATATACAGTGAACTTAGAAACTACATTCATTACGACAGGATTAGCAGGAAAAGGAGGGTAGAGTGGGGGAACAGGATCACCTTCCATCAGCAGGACATGACAGAGTGGTAAGATACTTGAGCCCAGAAAGAAGGTGTCTCCTTATTATCTCCCCCTCCCCCCAGAGACTGAGGTCAGTTTACATGATTTATAAGATATGGAACTGTCCCAGTTTTCTCTGCTGTCCTGGGGTACTTTCTGGAAGCTGGCCTGGGACCCTATGCCATTTACCCACTTGCTTTAACTCAGTAGCTGCCGAATCTCTTTGTGCATGTGACAGAGAAAGTCCACATAGGATGCTCCCCCGCTCAGGCTCTTGTCTTCCACCAGGAAGTGCTTGAACAGCATCTCCAGCTTGTCCTCCTGTTTTACCACGATAAGCTATGGCCAGAAGGCAGTCATGAGGCAGGGTTAAAGGAAATGAAATCTCCCCAGAAATCTCATTACCCAGTCACTTACTGACTCCCCACCCCTTCCAGGAAATCCAGGATTCAGATCAGCGTTACCTTCATGTACCGCGATCTCTGTGCCCTTAAGCTATCAATGAGACCTCGAACCTTTGTAGACAGTGGATTATCCAGAACTGGCAGAACACTCTGGAACACAAAATTCATTCATCCTTTTGATAAGGTACTCTGAGTTCAGTCAAGATGGGGCAGTGTAGATTCACACATCACCAGAAACAAGGAGGCCTGGGAAGAATGACAGCCCCCTCCCTTCCCTCTAAGTGTTCCCTGATATTTAAGGGGACTAGCACACTAACTTTATTGGTTCCCATTCATATCACAAAGTGTACTTCCACACCCATATTCTCCTTGACTCTGTGCCCTCACCAGGCCACTGCTGATCTGACTGAAGGAGGAGACGTTGAAAAGGCTCTGGACAACACCCTGTTGGACACTTGCTCCCACCCAGAGGAAAAGGTTCAGCCCATTCTCCAGCAAATATATATCCCCATTGCTTAGACGCTCTTCAGACGCTCGAACTGCTGGTGGTTCGGTGGTGCTCTCAATGGGAGACTTCGTCTAGATTAAAGGAAGGGGGCAAAAGGTTACCAAGGGCTGTAAGACACATCAGCCTTCCCCAACCCCACCCCCCACACAATTCAGAAAGCTAAGTCCCCAGACACTACCCCTTCTGGGGTCTCAGTAACTCAGTGTGAAAATTAGGTAATTATGCAAAAACAAATTCATTAGTATCAGATATTAACACTTCCCTTCTTCCAAGAGGCCCTTTTCTCAGTGCAATGTCTCACACTCAAACCCTCAATCGCACCAACGGTAGGAGCCGAGGGTAGAAAAAGATATTGGTCTCAGCCACATCCATGGAGGTAACCAGCTGTCGGACATAGGCACGGTCATCAGTAGTGACTTCAGCTCCAGGCTGCAGGACATCACTCTTCAATACACAGTTCAGGTAAACTGGGAGTAACTTCATGCACTCGGGAAGGATCAGCTGGGGGGTTTATCAAAATAAAGTCAATGATCATGGGAAATCCCTCCCAAATTCAAAAATGTGTCCCAGTAGCCCGTCCACTAACATGTTTGCCCCACCTGTCCTGCAGAGGAAGGGCTGGCACAGTTCTTTCTGTAACAGGCCAGGATCTGGGCACACTGGGTGATGAGAGTGTCACGAACAGTCTTCACAGGGCTGTTCAGGACTCCCCGGTATGCTGGATGGGGAGATGTCACATTCACTGGTCAGCTGCCCATCATGTGTGCCTTACCACCATCACACCTACCCAGGAATACTGAATCGTTGACCATCGTGGACCTTTCTCTCAGCCCAACCCCTCTACCCTGCCTCTGCCCTCACCAAACTTGGCCATGTAGTTGATGAGTGTGTCAGTCTCACAGTTTCGATACAGATCAGCCAGCTGGGTGCAGCAGTTCAGGGCCAGGTTGTGGATTCGGAGTCGACGCTGCCCTGCACAGCTGGTGTAAAGCAGGGCACACTAGGGGAAGAGAGAGAGGGGGAACTCACACCCCTTTCTCACAAAAGCCCTCTGAAAAACCGCCCCTTTGCTATATTATTAAACTAGAAAAAAGACATGAGCCACCCCTCCCCCAGCCTCTTCTTTCAGTCCTTTATACCTACTACTCACCCTCTTCCTTGCAGCCTATTTGTGCCCAAACGAATGACACCCACCACTTCCTCCCCAACCCCTGCCTCCCGCCTGCCACCTGCAAGAGGGCTCCACTCTCTTCATTAAGCCGATCATCATGCTTGAACTCCACCGTCACTGTCTTGTCCCCATCCAGTCCAGCCAGCTCCACATCTGTTGTGTTGCTCATGTAGAAAGCCCCAAAGAAATCTACAGCCCGGATACCTGAGGCCACATAGACATGGTCAAGGCTAAAGGTAAGACAGAGCCACGTGCCTCCCTCCCAGATTTAGCCCCCCACCTGTTTTTCTCCAACCAGGACTGACCAGTGCTTGTCCTGACTCGCATCACAGCATCAAAGCCAACAATCTTCTGTACATCGCGACGCAGGTCACTCAGGAACCGTTCCTGGTCATTCTCCACCTGTAGCCCCCCAGGACAAGAGTCCTGACTACAGAGCTCACCCTACAGACAATCTCCCTGCATCTCTTCTGCTCTACAAGCCTACTTAATTGTTGTAACAATAACAGTGAAGATGATAATGATGTTGATGACAACAATGATAGCTTTTATGTTTTGTTTTTATTTTTGGGGGGGTGGCTGGCAAGTACATTGATCCAAACCCATGACCTTGGTGTTACCAGCACCATGCTCTCCAAGTGAGCTAATGGCCAGCTGACAATAATAGCTTTTAAGCACTTACTACATGCCAGGTACCACACTGAGTGCTTTACATTTAATTATTTAATTAGGTAGATAAATCCTAATTAATAAGTATGGAAACCCCATTTTACAGATGAAGGAACATGGAGGAAGTGATTAAGTAATTGATCTTAGGTCATACAGCTAGTAAGTGGTGGGGCCGGATATCAACCTAGGACTGATTCCAAGGCCCGTGCTCCTAACCACTGCACTCTCAGGGCTCACATCTTTACATTATGTGGTCTTCTACTCCAATCTACTCCTGTTAATTTGTTGATAAATCAGCAGCTAAAGAGCCACTCCACACATAAGCAGACATTCCCAGCCCTGCCACCCAGAATCCCGCACCATACCTGAAAGCAAGCATATTTGTAGATGGAGCCACCAGTGAGCTGGGGCACAACAGAGAGTGTGGCCACATCCACATACTGGTTAGGGAAGAGGAAGAGGTCTACACAGCAGCCTTGGGCCACACACTCTTTGGCCAGGGTCTGATAGGCGCCTGTCTGAGGCTGGAACAGAGTCTGGAGAGGAGTGGAAGAAAATGTTCATATCTCAGCTCCACCCTATTTGAGAACTGTATGTGTAATATAGGACATTCAAATACATATAATACTTCAGATCTACTTCCTAGGAGTTTGCAATAGTAGTAGAAAGTTCTCTAAAAAAAGAGTCTAGCAAAGGCTTTGGGATGAGATGGGGTAGAGAGGTGTTGCAGCAGTGGAGAAGGTCAGTAGTCATAGATGTGATACGTGAAAGGGCAAGGTGTCTAGTCCCAGTCCCACCAAGAAAGTTAAGGGTGTGGCATTGTGAAGCATCCCCACCTTCCTCTATAATGGAAAGTCCTACCCCCATCTTCCAATCTCACACCTTCTCCTTGTCTGTGTTGATCAGCTTCCTGTCATCTCTGTTCTTCAGTTTCCCTGGGGCCTCTGCAATGGGCAGGGATGTGTGGAACAGAAACAGCTTCCCTGCACACTCAGCAGCCTAGGAACAAAGAGAGGACTACTTGTTCACTCTTTCCTTTATTTGTCCATTATTCATTCATTCCTTACCTTGTCATTTATTAAGTGCCAACTATGTCAGACAGGCTGACTTAGTAGACAGTCATCAACCACTGATGAAAAGGAGATTGTATCCCAGGGAGTAAGGTGGTCAGAGGAAGGTGAGGCAGATGAGGTTGCCAGGGACTCCA